TGGTGAATCGTCATTCACCTACCTTTATGAAATTTGCACTTGGATCTCGGCATCCCATTTCTAAGTTGTGAATCGTCATAGTTGGATCCTAACCTTGATATTATATTTTTGGGTTATTTTATTAAGGTATCTTGAAATCTAACTAAAACTTTCTTTTCAGATGTCTACTCCTGGAAACACTTCTGCTTCGTCCTCCTCCAACCAAAACTTCTCTTTGCTCAATATCTGCTCCAAAGTCGTTATGGATGGCTCAAACTATAACGATTGGATGCGCAACATCAAGATGGCTCTTCGTTTCGAGAACAAAGAATATGTTCTTGAAAAGGAGCTCAAAGAGCTTGATGAGAATGAAGCTACTCCTGAAGATCTTGCTGCCTACAAGAAACATTACGATGATGCTACCAAAGTGGCATGCATCATGGTGGCAACTATGTCCCCAGAACTGCAGATGTACTATGAGGACTACTGGCCTTTCGAGATGAACAAGGACCTTATGGAAAAGTACCATAAGCGAGCTCGTCAAGAAAAGTTCGAAGTAGTCAAGTCACTCATGGCTTGCAAGATGAAAGATGGGGAGTCGGTTGTGTCACATGTGCAAAGAATGCAACGCTACATAGAGCGTTTGGTCAACCTCAATATTCACTTTGATGAGGAATTGGCCATTGACATGGTCTTGAACTCACTTCCTGAATGTTATGGTCAGTTTATTCTAACTTACCATTTGAACAATACTGAGCAGACCTTGGCCCAATTGCACAACTTGTTGCAGACAGCTGAGGCATGGATGAAGGGTAAAAGTATACCCTCCACACCTACGAGTGCCCCTGTTTTGGCTATTGGACAGGGAAAGGGGAAAAAGAGGAAAGGTCCTCCCAAGCAAAACTGGAAGAGCAAGGCTCAAGCTGGGTCATCTAGTAATGGCCCAAAGGCTAAGCCCAATGGTTCCACTCCTCATGTTTCTGATCCAAAAGAGGCAATTTGCTTTTACTGCAACCAAAAGGGGCATTGGAAGAGATCTTGCCCACAATATCTGCAAGATATCAAGGATGGCAAAGTGAAGCCATCTTCGGCAGGTATTTACACTATTTCTGCTAATAACTCATTATCTTCTCGTTCATGGGTCCTTGATACAGGATGTGGTTTTCATATCTGTTCTGATTTGCAGGGTCTAAAGGAAAGTGAGGAGATAGAGCGAGGAAGGATAAACCTGATCATGGGAAACAGAAAGTCTTCACCAGTAACCAAGATCGGAGTTTATCAGCTTCTGCTTAGTAATGATGTTAGATTAGATTTAATAAATTGTTGCTATTCGTCTGAGATGACGAGAAACATTATTTCATTTCATGCATTGTTCAGACAAGGTTTTACATATTCTTTTAATGATTTGAATGGTTCAATTTCTGTTTATAAGAATGGTGTTTTTATGTTTGAAGCTTTACCTTGTAATGGTGTGTATGAAACAGTGACTTGTGTTGATAGCCTAGGAAATAGTGTACTTCATATTGACTTGTCTAATAGTGTAGACAAGGCATGCTTGTGGCATTGTCGTCTTGGACACATCAACAAGAAACGCATAGCCCAACTCCAAAAGGATGGAGTGTTGGAATCATTTGACCTAAAGTCAGATGACATGTGTGAATCTTGTCTTTTGGGAAAGATGACAAAATCACCATTCACAGGGTCTTGTGAAAGAGGTGAAGGTCTGTTGGATCTCATACACACGGATGTGTGTGGGCCCTTCAGATCAACTACAAGAGATGCTAATCGATTCTATGTGACTTTCACTGACGATTATAGCAGATATGGATATATCTACTTGATCAAGCATAAGTCAAAAACTTTTGAAAAGTTCAAAGAGTTTAAGCATGAAGTCGAAAACCAATTTAATGATTATTGGTTTAATTTTATAATTAAACGATATATATAGGAGTATTGCTGTATTAGAAGCCTCAAAACCGGGGAGGCCTAGGCCCCATTACTTTCCGCCACTGAATTTGTGATACCTTAACAAATTGTGAAACTAGAAAAACATTGCATGATGTGTCATTTTCATTTATTTTTTTTCCAAATTATGGATAGATGATTTAATATTTTGGGTTGATATGGTGATATATCCACATAACCAACCGCTAAGATAAAAAAATTTACATAGATACTATTTCGTGAAACTCTAAAACAAATTGTGAAATCATAAACATATTTAACCATATGTTATTTCTCTTGTTTGTTTCGCGCCACACTTGGCCAATGTGAGAAAATAATTCTAAATAATCAAACATTTATTTTAGTGTATTTTTATTTGTGTATGTATGTATTATGTAAAAATTAAATTTGTGAAACCCTAAACATATTTCAGGATATGTTCTTTTGATATGTTTTTTTTTTTTGAGTTATGTGTATATTATTTACACTAGGTTACAATCCGTGGGACCACGGATAAAAGATTTATAAAAAATTTAAATTGTGTTATAATAACTCGTGTATTATATGGGTCTGCAAACTAAAAAGAAAACTTAAATAAAAAATGAGTAACATAAAATTTTCTAATATGATATTTTTGAATTCGATGTTACTAAATGAGGAGAAACAAAATGGATTCTATCAATCCAAAAGCCTATTTTCCTTCAATTAAACCAAAGTTTATTTTGATAAAGATCTTTTGCACCTTTAGTGATTTGTGGTTAATAACTTCATTGTGTTTTTGGCGTAAAAAATCATTGAATTAAGATTAAACCGAAAGGTCATGGGTAATTGGGTAAATACTATTCTCTTATAAAAAAAAGTATAAATTTAAGGAAAAACAATTTCGAAAGCTTAACTCATGGCTAGATATTTCTTTAGAACCAACACTTCAATGACAGAAATACTTAGTATCACATGTCATGCTTCCTTTTTAATCTCACATGAAATCGACATCCTAATTAAGTAGAATACTCATAGAGTTCACTTTTCACAATACCCATACAAATTGTTAACAATTAGCATTAAGGGACTAAAAAGGAAACATACCAAAACTCAAATGTTACACACACACACACACACATATATATATATATATATATATATATATATATATATATATAGTATTACGATAGTCAGATTGTTGATGTTGAAATGATTTTTTTTTTTAATTTACTCTTATTATTACTATTTGTTTATCTAGATCTTCATATTTATTCTATTTTCAAACGTTTTTATATAGGAAACAAATTTGATCGTGAGGACCAATTGGTAGACCAATTTGGAACTAAAAATTAACTCTTGGACTTAAAATTTGAGATTTTGAGTTATTGAGCCCTTATGAAACTTTATCCATTGAGTCATTAGAGTGATTCATATCTAAAAAGCCAAAGGTTTATCTATAAGGATTAAGCATTTAATGGGGTTGGTTTTTTGCCATAGGAAACATGTCGTGAACAAGGATGGTCCGCATCGCGGCTACACGTTGCAATAACGTCTGTTTTGTCGGGCATCCCCGACACAGACAATGTTTTTGGTAATGACGCAGAGGCATTTGAATGTTGAATTTTTTATCGGTTTGACTTTTGGTCAAACTTGGAGGTTTTGAGTTATAGACTGAGGTTTGAGTCTCTGTTGGTTTAGGCAATTCGTGTAGCTGATTTTTTTGAGACTTTGAGTAGTGGATTCAGCTCTTGATTTAGGCGAATCTTGTCACTATATTGTAGGAAACTAGGTGTCGTTTTATGCTTGTTGTCTTTGTGACTCTTGTATGTTGGGGTACGCTCGTTGGGCTAGACCCGTTTATATATTTATGGAATCTACCCAAATGTATGTGTGTTGGGCTGGGCCCGCAAGATTGAAACATAACTGTTGGGCTAGGTCCGTTATTTGGTATGATATGTGGTAGCTTGAGGAACTCACTAAGTTTTGTATTTACGGTTTTAAGTTAAATGTTTCAGATACTTCTTGTAGTAAGGGGAGGACACGACGTGATTGCATCACATTTGCTTTTATGTTTTAAACACCTTCTACACTCTTGATTTTATAACCCTGATTAGATGATGTTTTAAACAGATGATTGTTTACTTTTTTAAGAATTAAATTAATTCAGTTTTGATATAATTTTTAAATGAAAAATTTGGGATGAAATTTGGAAGCTACACATATATTTCTCATTTTCTATGTTTATTTGACTTTTTGTTAGATTTTAATAAAAAATGAAATATTTTTTTTTTCGAAATTCTAGAATTGTTCTAAATTTTTGGAATACTTTTTATTGTTTTCGAAATACATAATGGTCCGAAATGTCCTTTTTATGTTAGAAAAAATATTTTAATTTTACATAAAATAGTCAGGAAAATCTTTTTCATTTTACATCAAATAGTCGGGAATATCCTTTTTTATTAGGAAAAATCTTTTTTCTACCAATTTGTTAATTGTTAAACAAAACTCAGTTAATTTTAAACATAGTTAATTTATCAAAGAGTCACTATATTTTGAATAAATATCAACAAAAGAAAACTTCATAAAAAACTTATATTTTAATACATTTTAGATTTTTTTATTTTTTTTTTCAATTTTAACACATAATGTTATATCACCAAATACTACATCATATTACCTCAATTGGCAATATTGATTGACGTATAGAGTTATAATAAACTAATAAAAAATGTCCAATTTAAGATAAAAAAAAATACCAAAATCACAAACTTTTATAAAAACTTAATGATTTTTTGGAATCAAAACAATTCAAAAGTATAAATATCCCAAAATAAAAGTTATCAATAAAATGGAACGAACCAACAAATTTGCACCAGTATTAAAAGCCGAAATTAGTCATCACTAAGGTATGGGAACACACGAAAAGGTAAGAAGCGAAACCGGCCTTACGAGTATAAAGGTGCACAAAAATGGTGGAAAATTTTGGTTTCAGTGTTCGTATTCCATTTCAAAGAATCAAAACCAACTTCTCACAACCTAATCGCGATTGAGAAAGAAAAGAAGGCGATGAGTTTAGGAAAGTAAGTGCATCGGCCATGAACAGAGTAATCATCTCTTCTGGCAACGAACATGATTCCATAATCAATCAAGACACGAACGATTGGTGCAATGATGCTGTTGTTAATACCCTTAAACCTGCTTTCTGGGTATACGCATCATTCATGATCATCAACCAAAGATTGAACTAACAAATGACAATTTACAACAAACCAGAAAAGTTTTGGCCTTTTGGGTGTCTATAATCTGGGAAGAGTCGTCTATCTACAAAATACAAATCCCAGTTCGCATTGGTTTTGATTCATCGATCGGTGTTCATAAAACTCACAATAACAGCTGGGTTTTAATCGATATCGAATTCAAAAGCTTATGTAAAACATGTTCTTCCTTTTATCTATATCTATTTCTTGAAACAGTTGCTTAAGTTCTTGGATCCATTTTATGTAATTTTGTTATGAAGTTTTTGGTTTTAAGTTTGAGGTGGTGTGATGATTTGATTTGATGATTGGGTGTTGAGTAATGTAATTGTCACTGCACCAAAGCCTGACAGCGGCTCCTATTTAACAAAGTAAGAATTTTTTATTTAATTTTTTTTGGTTTTGATTAAAACGGAGTCTGGAATGGATAGAGAGGGTTTTTATAGAGTCATCGAAAGATGTAGAGATTCTTTACTAGACACGATTTTTTTTCTCTTTTTCTATTAATTCCAAATTTTAATTTGGGTGGGTGAGGGTTGATTTTTTAAGGACTAGGGTTTCCATTCTTTACTTTACTCATCTATTTGGGGGCCCCTTTTCGCGATTTGGAGTTCAAGAACATCTCTAATAGGGTACGATTCGACGATCTTTCTTCAAATCTCCATCTGGGTTCATCGATTTCTTCAAATTTCTCATCTGGGTCGGTCAGTTTTTCAAATTTCTCGTCTCTTCTTCGTTGATTTATCGATTTTAAAGTGATGAATTGGATTTGCTGTTGTGTAGAAGGTCTATTGCACGCATCATTCTGCTAGGGTTCATGTATTAGAAGATGTTTCATGCTCAAGGAACTGCAAAACACACCTGTTGCATGCTTGCAGTTTTATCTGGGAGAAATTCAAATAATAACAACGATTATGATGTTCATCGCACTGCCTTCAATTTCCCCTTTCCAGAGATCACTTCTTCTGGACGTTTAGAGGTACAACACATCATGCTCTACTTCATTCCATAACTGATTTAAGCTAATTCCTTCTTCTACTCAAATCCCCAAATGCAGGTTCAAACATTAAACAATCCTACCACCGACGAATTCCGTAAGGTTCTGGATTCTGTACAACCAAACATCGTTTATTTTCAAGGAGAAAGGCTTCCAAACGATGAAGTTGGATCTCTATGGGAAGGTGCTGAAGACTTACCCGGACTCTTTGGTTCGTATTTGCCCACAACAGTACGTAAAACTTGAAACATTCAACTTATTTCTTACAAAATCTGCATTTCAATGTATTTTCCTTTCATCATCTCTGCGATCTCATTCTCTTCCAACATTAATACAGGTCTATTTAGAATTCCCAGATGGTGAAGAAGTAGCAGAAACACTCCACTCAAAGGCAATAAACAAAATCCCATAACTAAATCATCATTTTCGTTATAAAATGGTTGCCTAAAATGTTAACGATTCATTCATCTCAACAGGGGATTCCTTATGTGATATATTGGAAGCACTCATTTTCATGTTATGCAGCTTGCCATTTTCGTCATGCACTATTTTCAGTCGTACAAAGGTAACTTAAAACTTATAATTTATAAAGTATAAACATATGAAATCTTTCTATCATGTTGTTTAATTCTATATCTTTTTTTTTTCTTTCTCCTTTTCAAATGTCAGTTCATCTAGCCATACATGGGATGCATTCCACCTTGCACATTCATCTTTCAGACTATATTGTGTAAGAAACAACCTCGTTGGTCAATCTGAAAAAGTCAACATCAAATTGGGTCCAAGTCTTCTTGGTGATCCACCAAAGATCAATGTCCCCCCTCCTGAAGCACCAGGGGGTGAAGATGACGAAGAGAAATACCCCGAGGACCTTCCTGCAATTAAAATATATGATGATGATGTGAATGTAAGGCTTCTTGTTTGTGGATCTACATGCACTTTGGATGCTTCTTTATTGGAACCTTTAGAAGATGGACTTAATGCCCTCTTAAGTATTGAAGTAAGTATACTCTAATTCTAAGCCAAATTACAAAAATACCCTTTTAAATCATGTACTAAATAACTAAATTACTAATGCTAGTTATCTTTATCTTTATATCTACAGATGCGTGGGTGTAAACTTCACAATCGAGTTAGGTGTGCATCACAATTCACATTACAAGTTTTATTATGATTTATGAATTTAAAAAATCGGGATTCAAATTTAATTTTTAAAAAAAAATTACATGATGATGTCATGCAGTGCACTTCCTCCACCCCTCCAGGCTGGCACATTTTCAAGAGGTGTTGTCACAATGAGATGTGACATTTCAACTTGTAGCTCTGCATATATCTCACTTTTAGTGTCTGGAAGTGCACAGACATGTTTTGATGATCAGGTAATGATCAAAATAGCAACATACTTTCAATACATTTTTTATTTACAATAATTCATCTCATTTCTGTAAATTACATGTTTTTTTTGTTTTGTTTTCAGCTTTTGGAGAATCATATAAAAAGTGAAGTCATTGAAAAAACTCAATTAGTTCAAGCAATATCAAACTTTGAAGAAAATAAGGTTTCTTTATCTGAGCCTCGTGGGTCCGCTTCAATAGCTTGTGGGGCCACAGTATTTGAAGTTTCCATGAAAGTCCCTTTATGGGCTTCACAGGTTTTTACCATATTTACATATTCACCCCTTTCTTTTCTTGTTTTACACTAAAACGTATTGTTTATTTATTTATTTTTTTCTTTAGATTTTGAGGCAATTAGCACCAGATGTTTCATACAGAAGTTTTGTTGCACTTGGTGTTGCAAGTGTTCAAGGGTTAGCAGTTGCTTCATTTGAAAAAGATGATGCAAACCGATTACTTTTTTTTAGTAAAAATCAAGAAAACAATTCCCATTTGAACATAATCACCCCTCCAATTCCCACATGGATGAAACACCCACTTCCAAGTAGAAAAAGATCCTTCACAAATCAAGAAATGGGTCCCGGTGTTCGTGTTAATAATAATGGTCTGATTCCGGGGATCAAAGGAATGGAATCAGTAAACGGGAATGTAATCAGACAGAAACCAAAAGTGGCTGCATTGAGGCCAATTCCACACATTCGACACCAAAAAATGTTACCTTTTGCTGGGATTTCAGAGGTAAATGGACATGAGTTTGGAGGACAAGTGAAGACAAATGTTTCATTAGCACCCTCCAACAAACACAATAGTGCAGGATCAGCCCCTGTGACTCATCGGAAGTCATTATCTAGCTCTTATCAAGCAAAACAGTTAATTTCATTAAACCCCCTTCCATTAAAGAAACATGGTTGTGATAGAAGTCCAATTCATGTTTGTTCCGAGGTAAAAACATGTCAATACATTGTGCTATTAAGGGTAAAAAAGGTAAAATACATTCCCTTGTTTAATGGTTTTTTTGTATTGTTGTAGGAGGAGTTTCTGAAGGATGTGATGCAGTTCTTGATACTTCGAGGGCATAATCGTCTTATTCCTCAAGGTGGACTTGCTGAGTTTCCTGATGCAATACTCAATGCAAAGCGTTTGGATCTTTATAATTTATATAGAGAGGTGAGTTTTCAAAGTGTATCTATATTTTTTTGAGATGATGTAAATGTTGAAGAAGATAAATTTACCTTTTTGCCCTCGTTTAGGTGGTTTCAAGAGGTGGCTTTCATGTTGGCAATGGAATCAATTGGAAAGGGCAGGTTTTTTCAAAGATGCGGAACCACACAGTTACCAATAGAATGACGGTAATACCCTTTTCTTCTCTAACTTGGTTTTTGTCAGTGATTTTGTGGGTCCCATTTATGTTGTTTGTTTTTTTTTGATAGGGTGTTGGAAATACACTTAAGAGACATTATGAAACGTATCTTTTGGAATATGAATTGGCACATGATGATGTGGATGGGGAGTGCTGCTTGTTGTGCCACAGGTCATTAAAATTTCTCTTTGTAAATAAGTTTATTGGAGTTAAAACTTAAAACTAATTTTTGTATTTTCATATTATATAAAAAGACTTAAAAGAGTCATGTGAAAAGTCATTGCATTCCATGATGATGGAATGTAATGAGTCATTCCATTACCTTTGTTTATTCTATTCCATCTAACCAATTAGACTCTTATATATAAGTGTGCTAATAATATTAAAAGTCTTTTTTTTTTTTTTTTTTTTTTTTTTTTTTAAACTCTTAACAGTAGTGCAGCCGGTGATTGGGTGAACTGTGGGATATGTGGTGAGTGGGCCCATTTTGGTTGTGATAGAAGGCAGGGTCTTGGTGCATTTAAGGTATAGTTTATTTTTATCGAGTAAATTACATTTTTGGTCCTTGAGTTTATTCACTAATTGCAGTTTTGCTCTAAAATATTTTCTCTTGCAATTTTGATGCCTAATATCAATTGTTGTAACGATTTTGGTCCCTGATATCGTTAAAAAATAGTATTTTCAGTAGCAAGAGGAAACCATTTGGGACGAAAACGGAAAGTTTTGAACAAACTCAGGGACCAAAAGTGTAAATTAGTAGTCGAAGTTGTGAATTATGGAATCAATGTGACATTGTTTTTGTTTATACGCTTTTGCAGGATTATGCAAAGACAGATGGATTAGAGTACATATGTCCTCAATGCAGCATCTCTAACTTCAAGAAAAAATTACCCAAAACGCCCAACGGATATTCTTGAACAATTGAAATGATTCTTACTTGTAATTTTTTTTTTTTTTTTTTTTTTTCTTTTTTTTTTTTGCTCTTGTTATTCTAGGGTATGTTTGTAGTATGTCTACATGGGGTTTAAAAGCCCATTTGTTATGAGGAAAGATAGGAGAAGGGGAGTGGATTGGTTGGTTTAATGAGGGGTATTCGTGTAATATATGTATATTTTTGGGCATATTTACCATTTTGTAGTAGTTGTAGTATCTCATATCATGTTCTTAATTCTTATATAATAGTGCATGTATTTTAACTACTCTCAAAATGTCCATGGGTTTAATGAGGTGTCGTTCTCTTTTTATAGCATGTATACGAATGAAATGAATATTGAAATAATCTTTTAACCTTCGATTACATGCGAAATATTGATACATATAATGAGTATTTTACATTACTTTGAGATTCGGGTCGGACCTTATAAGATTTTGGGCTTATATATTTAAAACTTGTAATTGCATTGGATATTTCATAAAGAAAAACATCACCATCTTCTAAGTGTTTGTCACACATACGATCGAGTTTGTGCTCCTTGTTGTTAAGTGATATACTAATCACTTTACTTTCCAACTTATAAATATAGCTACACGTTTTAATAAATATATAATCACCAAATTAGAAGATTGGAAATTGATTGTTGTGTTTGCAATTAGCTTAAATAGTAATATTAGGAACTTTCCAAGTCGTTTATATGACATCCAATTTTTATTTTTCTTATAATTATGGGACACAATGGAAAATAGATGAAAATGCATATGCAACATTAAGATTTGGTATCTAAAGTATACTATTTGATGAGTTTTATGCTTACTTATGGAAAATAAGTGGGTAAAAATGTTAGTACAAGAATAGGGTTAAATACCAGAGTATAGTGCTATTCTACAAGAGAGGATTTTTTTTTACTTGGAGAATAAGAACCGTGAATACAACGTGCTATCATACTGAAAAGTAAAATCTCAAGAAAACTAGAGAGATTTGCTAATTACTTTTCTAAAAATAACCAAAAAAAAGTTTTATTTATTTATTTATTATTATTATTATTTTTTGCAAAATAGCCATTAATTTCGCAGATGCCTAGAACCCATATACATTTAAGATTTTCATCTGCTATGTGACGAATGTTATAAAAATGCATTTTTTTTTGTAATGGAGACCACCAAATAGGGTTTTGTTCCATCTGCTATTTGCTCTCTTCCCCGTCTGCGATTTTATTTTATTATTATTTTTAAATACTTAGGTTTGACTAAAAATTTGATAAGGTTGACTACGAAATAAGACATTGTTGACTATGAATTCGTACAAATGAGTATATTTTATATAAAAAGAAGCAAAAAATGTTTAGCTTATTAGTTATTTCTTAGAAATGTTGTTTTGAGTCTCTATTCTAAATGTAGTGAATATTTGGTTTTCGTTGTAACGGGCGGGAGGTGGGAGTAAGTGGAGAGAAATCTGGAATATGTTTGTCCTTAAGAAGGAATTTCTGAATTTCTTTTTATTTTTTCGGAGTATTAGTTATAGTGATTTTATATCTTTGGTGAAAATGAAAGTTGGTTTGTTGTAACATTCCAAAATCATGATAAAATTTTTCATTTTTAAATTTATAGAAATCATTGTTTTCAAATAGAACTCATATCAAGACCAAGTATCAAATACAAATATCTCAAGATCAGTGTATCAAAAATCTCCAAAAACATGTCATCGAAGGATGTGTACGATCACGCATTTGCCTTGTCACGATCATCTGAAGTACCTGAAACAATCAGCTAAAACTGTAAGCCAAAATTTAGTGAGTTTGCCCAAAGTACCACCACACAAACATATAACAACATGCATACTGGGTCCATAACTAACATATTGGATTACCCCTGAGTCCACAACATGAGTTTGGCTTGCCTTTCGGCCCATAACTCATGTCTGACTTACTCCCAAGCCCACAACATAAGTCTGGCTTGCCTTTAGTGCCCACAGCTTATGTCTGGCTTGCTCCCAGGTTTGTTGGCTTCCACACAAAGCAACATTGCCTCAACCTAACCATACTATGTCGACATATACATAACATATAACATATATCTAGCAAACAGATAGTCATATAACCAGTCAACAAACAAACAAACAGATCTACATATCACTACCGCATAACAACATCCTATATACCTAACACAGTTCTAACAGATCAATACAACATAGCAACATCCTCAAGACCAGGATACATAACCCAGTGGGCCGGCATTGTTGCCTTCGACCCAGAAGTACAATGAAGAAAACTCACCTCTCAGTCTGAAAAGATAGTTGAACACAACACAACTCCGTATACCAACTCTACAGGTCACCTATACAACAAACAATGACCTTATCTCAAACTATTGTTCAAAATACCCAAAATGCCCCTAGGTCAAACTTGGTCAAAATCTTGATCATAGGTCAAAGTCAACAAGTCAATATCAAAGGAAAAGTCAAGATGCTGAGTACGCGAGGGCGTACTCAGCTCTTACGCTGGGCGTAGTTGAGGATTAGGAGGACCATCGGGGCTTCAGCCTAGTACGTGCAGCGTACCATTTGATGTTGGTGATTTGTTATCATCAATGTTATTTAAGTGTAATGGGATTACTTTGTTGACTAAAAATGATCTTGATAAATATTAAACAAGTAAGGAAGGTGTAGAGTACACACTTGTTTAAGTTTGATCAAGTATCAAAGTATACTGTCATTTAGGGGCGAAGCCCCTGAACGAACGAGGGTCCGGGGGCAGCGCCCCTGGGAGCAGGGTCCAAGGGGCAGATCCCCTGGCTGGGGTCGAGCTGCCAGGTCAGCGCAAAATTTTTTTATTTGGGTTATATTGCTGTATTAAAAATGCATCAGAAAATCCAAATTTTGAATATTTGACCCGTTTTTGACTTAGCATCAATCCTTATACAAAACCCGGATTTATAACAGTTTTGACTGTTGAGAAAAACTGTTATATGACAGTTTTGACAGTTTTTCAGACAAGGAAGGTTTATAACCAATTTTTAGTCAGTTTTCTGGTACTCACGAAATCACACCATCTCATTCTCTTTCTTTCTCTCTGATTTTCTCTGAGTCTTATCCAATTGAGGATTTGGGAGTACTACCCAAATACTTCGATTTGAAAGTGTTTTATCACGATTCTCAGATTTCCAAGTGCCACTAAACCATATTTCTAACATTTGGTACGCCCGACGTACGACGCCTGACCCCATTTTCTCTTCAAATAAGCTTTCCATTAAGACATTCCATCCAAACACAGATCTACACTCAAAACATTGTTCTAAGTCATAAACTTTCCAGCTTTATGACTTTCCATGACTAGTCAAGACCCAAAAGCTAAAACCCTAACTCTCTAATCCATTTAGACATTACAAATCTTGCATGGTAGGAAAAGAAGGGCCAACATCACATTTTTTTAAGTTTAAACACTCCAAAACGTCCAAAAGGACAACTCATTTGGTCTAGAGTAATCCATACTCACTTAGACCAAGAATATGGGACTAAAAAGCATAAAACTTAATATCTAGCAAGATCTAAGCAACTAGCTTATCAAGATTCAAACTTTATACCTCCAAATGATGCTTGAGGGTGATGTGTTTCTGGATCTAAGTAGCCTTGATCTTCCAATGTGGTTTTTTAATATTCTCCTTGCTTCAATGACACCAAAACACACACTTTCAAGATCAAAGTGCACACACAAGAGATTAGGGTTTGCTATAGACGAAATGAGGGGTGGAGGCTGATTAGGGGAAGAGGTCTTGGGAGTTAATGATGCTTAAATAGGGTCCAAAACCTAAAGATTAGGGTTTGGCTATCAGCCACGTGCTCCCAGCATACAAGGAGTACGTCCAACGTACTAGGCAACCACGTTTTTTCCACTTAAAGAGCCATAGGAACAATTTTGGAAATAAAAATCATACTAAGGGTTAAAATTGTAAATTACCAGGATGAAGAATGTTACATTTGTTAGATTGATATAAAATCAGTATTCGCTTCCATCTTCCTGCATCATTATATAGCCATAGTTGAAGATATTGATGTTAGAAAGGTATAACTATACAATAAACATCAAATAATATACACTAAAACTACTAAATTACACTAAAAATTAAAAATACTTCTTCAGAATGTTTCTCGACGTCCACCCTGCATTCTTTCAAACACTTTCCATAGCTTACATCCGAAACCTTTAACAGTAACCACGACTTTAAAATTTTAGGAGGCATGCTGAAATAAAAGAAATTGTTGAAAGGTATAAATGTCAACAAACATACAACAATATACACTAAAACTACTAAATTACACTAAAAATTAAAAAGAAACTAAACACTAACACTCCTACATTATAAATTAGATGCCCAATAAATATACAATAAACATTTCACTAAAAAAATCCAATCTACAAGGTTCTGATGAAGCACCATGTAAATGTACCACCACATAATGCAAGCCTACTGCTTCATAAACTTGTACATTCATATGAACATATATATATATATATATATATATATATATATATATATATATATATATATATATGTGAATGTACATTACAATTGCAGATCTGTGAGTTCTTAGCCATCCCAAGTATGAAATGCTCTGAAAACCTAAGGCTAACAATCAAATAGTCGAAAATAGCCATACATATAACAATTTATCTACCAAATATCATATACTTTCGTTTCAATAAAAAAATTCATATCAAAACGGAATATAAAATATACAAAAGCCTTGTAAATGATGATTATAACACTAAATAAGTAGAGATCTTACCATGTTTTCGGAAGAATAAACGAAATCGTCCATAGAGTTTTCCTAACTTGGAAGATGGAAAAATGAGGATTTTCCAAAAAAAAATGGTTTTTATACTTGTCTTTTCCAATTTCATAGACAAACCTGGTTAAATAGTAGATGGAAGTCCATTTGTGATTTTACAACTCTTTTATGCACTAGCCGTGCATTAAGACTTGTATATTCCGATTTTTTGACTTCCGATTTCATAGATGACCCTAATGACCTACGATTTTAGTGGCTATTTTGTGTAATTTTCTAATTTTCGGCTATTTTTAGAAAAGTAATTAGCAATTTTGGCTATATTTGCAAATTTCTCATAAAACTAACACCTAAATTAATCACTTAAATATACCATATGAACCCTCTAATTTTGATATCATGAAACGGCTCTAATTTGTTTCTCATAAAAATATTAATGTAGCACTTATATTTATAAGCAAAAGAAAATCAGTATAAACAAAATAAAATTCTAGTGAAT